CATCCCCTGATCATTTTTGTGGCCCTCCTCTGGACCCGCTCCAACAGGTCCATGTCTTTCTTATGCTGAGGGCTCCAGAGCTGGACACAGTGCTCCAGGTGGGGTCTCACCAGAGCAGAGAGACAGAACCACCTCCCTCGACCTCAGCCATGCTTCTTTTGATGCAGCCCAGGATATGATTGGCTTTCTGGGTCAAGTCTCTAGATGCTGCCCACACTTTCCTTCCTGCCGTTCTCATGTGCATTTGGAAAAGAAAAGTGCTTACCATCGTTTGCTGGATGGTATGCCTGTTTGGTCTTCACTGGAGACACCGTGCTGTTAAATTTGTTACCCAGAGGTGGGTCAGTCAAGCTTACAGAAGATTCTCTGTTCACAGCATCGATCTTTGATGAATCAATGGTTTTAGCTTGGAAGGAAATAAAGCAAAGATATGTGTGATTATTGTTTACTTTTTGTACAGAAACCTGGATACGCTCAGTGCCCGGCAAGGGAAGGGAACCCAGCCCTGCCGTGTTAGTCCTCTACCCTGCAAGGCAAACAGGACATGGTGCAATAGCAATCACCTCCTCCTGTGTATCAGGGGCCTTCAATTCTCAGATTTCAAAGATGAAATGAACCTCTCACGACTGAATCCACAGCCAAAGCAGAGCTTGTTTTCTGATGGTAAATAAGGTAATTGGTCTAAAAAGTATGAGTGCAACACCAGCTGTCAAAGGATGAGGTGTGAGGAAGCGGCAAGCAGAACTGTAGCTAAGCATCACAGGTATTACCAACACAGCAGATGACGAAATGGTGGTAAATAGTCCATACCTCTTGCAAGGCTCAACGGCATCCTTTGCCTTGCCAGTCTTTCTGCCGAAGTAGGGTATGTGGGGTAGCAACTACTGCTAGAGGGGAGGTTGTGGGAAATCTTGTGGCAGCAATAGTCACCCCTCTCCTGCACTGATGCACGTGGCAAGATCAAGAAACATATCTGCAGGGTTCCCCGCTGCTTATCCCAACCTCATCCCTTCCTGTGGCATGAGCATCCACGGGTACACGGGTGTAATTTATTGAGCAAATAACGCGCTGAAGTAAAAGTTGCCTGTTGATGGTCAACTGAAACTTGGATAAGAAAGGCCTAAACAAACACACAGGGCTTTGATGTTGTTACTGAGTAGTCAGAGGTTCCCTGCAGTAGACTCTGAACCATGGGGTTGACAGGAAAATTATCAGTTTGCACAAGACACACTAACCGGCACAAGCTGATTCAAAGCCTGCTCTTGTGTTTACCCTTGCAGCCTTATTTGGGGAGCCTGGCTCCGAGGCAGCCCTGGGCTGCCAGGAACATTGCCTTGGGGAATGCAAACGCCCTTTTCACATGCCTTTTTCCCATATCTTAAATGTTCCACGCATTTCCTAGCCTATATTTAACTAGTTTATTATGGTATCTAATTTGTATTGGCTTATTTACCTTCATGTTAAACAAACACTAACGCTTGTGACTACTGGTCTGTGATAATTACATGTTAACCTTCTAGTTGGCTAATTAAAAACCTTGGTAAAAAGGCCATCGTATCTGCACATGACAGCCAAAAAAGCTATTGTATCTCTTTTTATTTTGAATTAGCTATAACCTCTTTGTGTCAAAAGGTTACTCATAATCCATTGCTTATGACAACCAGATTCATCACATTGTCTCTTTACTCATTTCTGGAAAGGTGAAAATCTCATTGGGGCCATCAAGCCTTAAGGTAAGGAATAGCCTCATGTAAGAGAAATAATAATTTCCCCTGAGGAAGGTTGGGAACCTCATCACCTACAGAGTGGACAAACACAGAAAAGTCATTACGAATGCCAGCTCTTTTCTGATCTCTGGAGTGGAAGAAGGGAGAGGAGGAGAGGATGAGGGGAGGAATTGAGTGTGATTTTCAGGTCTCAGTTCTGCACACAACTTCACAAGAAAAGTCTTGAAACCACCTTCCTTTGCATAAGGGACTAAATGAAAGAGAGAAACAGACTGGACCATGAATTATCAGTGGTCAGCAACGGGCTTCACTGGCCATCTGACAAATGATGAAAGTCACATCTTGGTGCAATGACCATGCCTGATGTTTGTTAGCCTGGTGTCCAACACCTGGAACTATGACAGGACTAGGGTTTCTGCCCTTTTTTGTGTCCAGTCTAGGCAGAAGATAGTGAACACTCATGAAGGCAGAGATTAGATTCTTTTTAGCAGAGGCCAAGGCCATGAAACTGCTAATATAAAACAGATTTTTTTATAATTTTTGATGTAATGTTCTAGGTGTTCTTAATGCAAAGGGAGGGCAGTGCTTTAACTACCTCCCACTACTTGCTGTGTTCACTAGTCTCTTTATGGTTACATCAGGCACCAGGAGCAAGGTTCACTTTTGAGGATCATGAGAGCATGGGATGAAGGTTAGAACCATGGTTTCATTAGTGATAGGTGCACTGTTGGAGTCTGGCAGGAGATAACTGTAATGTGTTGCTTTGAAGCAACAACTTCTCATTTCAAATATAGCTGCTTCTCAGTAATTCATACAAGTTTAAAAGAGGTTTTCAGCTGCCTACAGTTTTCTTGTTACCAAAAATGACATCCCAAAGTACAAAGTACCGAAAGCCCCTTCAAAGTCTTAAGCGCCTGACTTTATGGGACTTCCTTGGTTGTTTTGGTCTTGGGAGGCTCAAGCAATTCCAACTATTCTTAGCTCTGAGCATCGTTCAGATGTACTTTCCAAAATACTTGACTTTTGCCTGTCATCAGAAATGCATCTGGGGTTTAGAGACCTGATCCTGTAAGGTGTTACATGCTTTCTGGAAAACACTGAACAGCAACTACTGGAAACTGGTGGTACCAAGTAGTTTGGCTGTTTTGGAGCCATTTGGTACTTCTCCAGATGGGGCCAAAGTGACCATGAGTTAGAATGATGGATGCAAGCCTGGTGTTAGGTGGCTTGGATGACACCTAAGGTTAGATGTTATCTGATGCTAAATCTACCTCATCTTACTTTCATAGGTCCACACCCGTGTGTCTACGGCTTGTTGTGTTGGTTTGCTGGGTCTCAGAGCTGCTGTCTGGGCAGCAGCACAGATTGTTTCATCCGCTAAAGTCTTCCACCTGCTGAATTTGTCCTTCTCCCTTGAGACAAAGACCTTGTGGCCTCCTTCCTTGGTGCTGAGGTGGAAGCCCAAGCTCTGCAGAGTCAAGTGTCCCTTCTTGCTGCAGGACCACGCTTGGCGTTCCCAGTCCCCGCAGGGCTCCAGCTTGACTGGGGCATACTCCCGCATCTTGTGGGCCGACAAGCACTGCTTTGTTTTAAGGCTGACGATGGTCCTGGTGGCGGGGTCCCAGCTCCACTGCTGCTGCTGGGAGTGCACCTTGCAGTCAGTCAGGCTGATGCCGTTGGTCTCGTGGTGGGAGGTGTGAATGCACTTTTCCAGCCGGGTGTTCCTTATGAGGAAGCCTTGTTCCCCTGCTACTGTGGTACAATCAGAGCATGGTTTAGTACTGCATATGTCTGAGGCAAATGCGTCTTCTGGGCACCAGACATTGTAAACGCCCTGGGGAAGGGAAGACGCAACCCACCAGTCCTTTCCTGGATAGGCATCCCTAGATAAACATTTCCCCCAGCTTCCTAATTCCCCAGAATGACATTTCTTTAAAATACAGGGTGTGCAAATAGCCAGGAGCAATTCCAGAGAGAAATAACAATGACATAAGTAACCCATGTAATTAATGGGAAAAAACTCACCATCCTTGAAAAGTTGTACTGTTATGAAATACCTGCCTATATATACTTAATTCAGTATTTCAACTGGTTATAGCTTTAAATAGGTACCCATCCTTCCCTCCCTCCAAAATAATTGGATGGTTTGGGGTTTTTTTGCCCCTACATGGATCAAATCTTTTGTATGAAAAAAAGCAGTTGAACCCCCTGAATTCCCCAGATGCTATTCATCTGGGACTATTAGGCCACCTTGGGTTACTGTTTCCATTAAGTGGCTTCTGGTGATACTACAGCAACGCTGGGATAAAACCATGCCCCATCACAAGTCTGGAAGTACTTGGCTGACACAGCTCATGTAAGTACTGAAATAAACTTGGATTTAGCACACCTGACATTGGTCTGTGCTCCCCAGGCATGAAGGTACCATTTTTAAGGATCCCTTTGTAAGAGAGAGATGTTACAGCCGCCCCACAACAGACACACAATTTGAAGCAATTTCTGTAATTGCTTGTTGCTTTTAATAGCAACGGGTCCAAACATCTCTGTTGACTTAGGATGGATATCATCCTGTTAGCTGGACAGTCGGCCCCATTTTCAGTACAAAATCATCAGGTGTGGCCTGTGAACATCCTGAGCAAAATGTTAAACGCTAAACCATCTGTCACTGATGCGGGTGTACCTTCTGCTGTGTATTTTATGCCTAAGACAGAGGGATAGAAATAAGAGTTTCGAGTTTCTGCACATTCTGAGAAATCTTTTAGTTTTAATTACAATTAAGACATGGTAAGTCCCAGCTTTTGCGGTGACTTTTTTTTCCTCTTTTCCCCAGGAGTCAGAGTTATAAAAGCCCTATCAGCATACAGTATTCAGCATAAAGAGTAAGAGGAGACTGAAAAGTGATATTAGACAAGAAAACTGATGTTTATCTAAACAACTATTTCTGCAGAGTTTCCCCTTCCAAAGCAAAGAAAAATACTTTTCCCTGGCCAAGTATTTGGCTCAGTACCTGAAAAAACTAACAGTGTAAACAGAAGCTGATACACAATACCAAGGGTATGAACAATAGCTTAAAAGAACTCATGTTTTATCTCAGGAAATTCTAGGGGTCTGCTAGATTAATAGTGCCTGGAAGCTGTTCAATCAGAAATAGCTCGGGGCTTTCTGCCTAGCCTGAATGTGTGGGGAGAGGCAGCCAGAAACCACGGCACAACTCCTGTGACAGCTCTGAGATGAGGATGGATGCGTCCACGCTGGGATGTTGAGTTTCGTGGACCTGTGATAGCCACCAATCCAGGCAATTCCTGCCAAGCCCATGTGCCTGAATGGAAATTAAATTTCTGGGAGAACTGTAGACAGCTCGTGAGTCCTGTTCTCTTTACCGCTTATTGAGGGTTCGATGGAGGGAAGATGTTTAACGCACCTTGGGCTTGAGTTTCTGCCAGCTTCCAAAGGCAGGAGAAATGTCTCATATATAATCTCCCATACTCTTCAGAAAATCCAAAGGGATGAATACAATCCCCCCACCATGTTTTTTTCTAGGACCTGGAATCCAGGATTCTCACCTCTTTGCTTCATCTTAACTGGCAGAAACCCATTTCCAAAGTAATGATCTGAGAGCCACACAAAAACGTAACGGGAACATGAGAACTGTGCTGGGTCAGATAAAGTATCTGTTGATCCCAGCATCCTCTCTCCAGCACTGGGCATTAGCATTTGCTAATAGGGGAAGAGGGTAAGAATCAGACAAGTAAAGAGCTGACTCAAGACAGCAAGGATGCCAGTGCCTCCTTCCTAAAATGTATCAGCTATTTAAGAGAGTATCGCTGGGTATTTATGGTTAAAATGGTTTTTCCCATGTACGCTACATTGTATTTTTCAACCCTGAAGTTCAGAAACCATTTTGTTGCTCAATCAGTATCATGGGCTCCTTCTGCAGCTCTGCACAGTCAACTTCAGTTTTGATTATTCTGCATAGTTTTGTGCCATCAGCAAACTTTATTACTTCGTTATTCACCCCTTTTCCCAAGATAACTGTGTCGAACAGCACTGATGTTTGTCGGCACCTGCTGATACCTTCACTTTGCTGTGATCGCTGTCAACTTATTCCACCTCTTTGTTCCAGCCTGTGGGTGAAGTCTCTTACTCCATGAGTATCGAGTTTCTTAAGGGCCTTCATGGAAGAATCTTACCAAAAGCCTGTTGCACACACAAGCACAAGGTCTAGATCAGTTCACCACATTTATGGGCTCATTGATGCCATCACAGATGTCAGGCATTCCCCCCACAAAAGCTGTATTGACTTTTCTCATATTTTTCTGTGTGTCTGCAAATTCTGTTCTTTGTTTCTACTGACTTGCCTGATGTCGCAATCAAACCGAGTGACCTATGTTTCCCCAGGCTGTGCAGGGATTCCTCTTAAGATGGACGTAATTGCCATAACACAGTCCTTTGGTGCTGAGGCTGCTTTAGGTAATAGTTTACATACTCCTTAGAAGTTAAAAAAACAAGTCTTATTTACTTTCCCGTAACTCAGTGTGAATGCCATCTGGGATGGTCATTTGCCACAGATTATTTATCTTTTCTTTTCCTAAAACTTCCTCTGTTGGCAATTTTGTTTGACAACATTCTTCAGACTGCAGAGAGTGGCTGCTGTGTGAGGACCTCCCTGACCATATCTGAAGAGAACACCAGCACCAATAATCCATTCAGCCTTTCAACCCTGCCCTGCCTTGGTTGTCCTTCTTACATTTACATCAGTTAGTTATTGGCTTCCTTACCCCCACTGAGTTCCTACTTCAGATACGTTTGAAAATTTCTATTAGTAGTTTTTTATGCTCACTCTTTGTTGCTCCTCTAAATCTTTTTCTTATATGTTTTATTATGGGTTTTGTTAATAAACATGCCAGGATCTCTGGGTTTGTTTTTTTTTTCCTTGCTTGGCAATGACTGTCCAATTGAAAGTTTCATCTTTTTAAAAATTTTGAAGAGCATTGCTGTTTAACTCAGATTTGTGTTTTGTTCTCTCTGTACAGTCCCTGGTGGTATACGTTCCCCTCTAAAGGATTGCCGTATTACCTGCGTGTTAGCAGCAAGCATTGCGTGCCCCCATGTTATCTACCAACCTTTTGCACTTTTGAGCTGCCCCTTTCTACCAGCTTTCTCGTTTTTTTGCAGGTCTCAGTTTTCAGAGACTCACCCCACTGAAGGTTCAGGGCAGCCCACCTGCCATGGGAATACATGTGAGCTGAGGAACCTCAACGCTGCAACTGAAGTGCTTTCCTTTGAGATTTGCATAGCTCCTCAGTAGAGTATGACACTGAGTTATTAATAGATTTTTATCTTCACACCATACCTCACATCCAAAAGTATAACTACCATTTTACAGCTTAGGAACAGAGGTCTAGCTAAACTTTGCTTGGTTCAATATTACATGGGAGGGTGGCAGCAAAGCTGGGGCCATAATCCTTCTTTTCTGAACTGTGGTCCGAGTGTCTTCCCTACCGACAGTGATGTGGAGCTCTCTGTAAGACTGGCTATCAACAGCAGGATTTTCCTTGTGGTGTTTTGCGTGATCCTTGCCAACAAAGGTGTGAGCCTGTGTCCATTGTACAGGTTCACCATCCACTACCCGTACATTATTGCTTTCCTGAGATTGAGATGTTACTATCTAAGTGAGAAACTTACAGTTAGATACAGTTAACTGGCAGCAATCATTGCACATGCCTCACACAGTCATAAGGGGTAGACCCACAAATAAAGCTGGAGTATATTTACCTTGGGATACACATCAGGCACCAAGAATCCTTACTCAGGAGGCAAAATGATTTTTTTTTCCCCAACATTGCCAAGTCCCACTGTCCAGCAGCCTTGCAAATAAGGACATCAGCCCTAACATTTTGGGAATATTAACCTGGAGCAAACAGAGCATCTAACATACTCCCTGGGGATGGGACTCAGCGTCTCTGGAAAATGCCAGCCTTACTCGCAGAGCCTGAGTAGATGCCTGCTTTGAGCTGCTCGTGCTTGAACATTTTGGCCTTTCATATTTTTAGGAACAAAATAAACAATTTCTAGCAAAGGCGCTTGATGCCAGCTTGTTTGTCCTATGATACTGCCACTCTGTCTGGTTACAAGAAAGAAAAGCAAGCAAATATAGCCCCCTGCTTCTCAGCAGCATGGCCACCCTTGGGACATGCTGTTCCTTGTAGGATTAGGAGCAAAAACCATGCAACGTTCCTAATTAAGGTAATGGCACCAAGAAAGTCTTGGTTACCAGTAACCCCAGTCTGGCTGGGAAAGTTTCTGCCATTTCTAAGCAGTGCCTGTGATGGCTTGATCAAAGCCATTTGTAAATCATTTGGGGATGGGTTGCTCCCTCTAAAGGCTCTGCGGAGGGAAGAGGTAAGTCAGAGCTGAGCAAGCCTAGGTTCCCAAAACACTCCAGGTCACCCAGGAGCCTCAGCATTGGCTTTGGCCTCTTTTTCCGTCCCCGGTGGTGTTCCTAACTCTTTGAGAAATCCTTTAATTAGCTCAATTTCTCTTGCCAAGTGGGTGTTTTCTGTAGGGAGAAGACGACCGCTGAGTCACAGTCAGGAATTTACCTTTTCCTGCCTCCACCTGTCTTCGAAGGCACGCATCCAGCTGCAGCAGCCATGGCACCTCTCGTAGGGACTGCTTTGTGGGGACATCCCATGGCCCAGGAGAGCTCCCAAACATGGCTTTTCTTGGGTACCACCATATGACAGCAGGTC